AGAGGCTGAGGCAGAAGGATCATGAGTTCAAAGCCAGCCTCAGCAACAGTGAAGTATTAAACAACTCAGGGAGACCCTGTCTCTAATAAAATACAAATTAGGGCTGGGGATGTGGCTGGTTGAGTGCCTCTGAGTTCAATCCCCAGTACCTCCCCCCCTCAAAAAAAAAGAAGATGGGGGGAGGGACTGGTGATATAGCTCCTGGCCCTGGGGTTTAAAACAGGAAAAAAAAAAAAAAACAGTGACAAAGATGAAAGAGCTAAGAAGCAAGATATATTGCCCCCACCTTGGTCCATTCGTGATATCTTGACCTAGTCTCCCTATGCCACCTCACTGAAGAATTTTGCAGCACATATATGGTTCCTCGCCTTCTAGGAATGTGCCTTTAGCTTCTCTACTTAAGACTTTTCATCCCTACCAGTAGCTATAGTGTCCCCCAAAATTACAGGAGGCAGTTTAAGAAGTGAGGCTCACTGGGCAAGGTGATGCACATCTGTAATCCCAGTGACTCAGGAGGCTAAGGCAAGAGGATCACAAGTGGGAGGCTAGCATCAGCAACTTAGAGAAGCCCTAAGCAACTTGGCGAGACCCTGTCTCAAAATAAAATATAAAATGACTCGGGGTGTTGCTCAGTGGTTAAGTGTCCCTCGATTCGATCCCCAGTACCAAAAAACAAAACAAGAAGTGAGGCTCTTTGCAGAGCTGGGGATCAAACCCTGGGGCCCTCAGTGACTTCACTTTTGCAGACACAGCACTCTGGCCAACATTGCACCTCAGCAGCTCACCAGCAGCACCCAGGAGCACCACCCCAAACACCTCTGAGGCACAAACAAATTTGGCAATGGCCTTCTTGCTCAGTGCCTCTGGCCTAAAGAGATGAACTAATGGCTGTTTTAAAGGTGAAACTTGGGGCAGATTTTCATGATAAATGGGACCTTTTATCTTCACTTCCCACAGACAGCTGCTAGTTCCTCTTTTCTGTCTACATCACTTACCTAAAGCCTGAGGTCAAGGTTTTCATCTCTTCATCTGTCTGGTAAAGTCATAATTTTATTGTAACTGGCCAGGGATGTCTTGTGCCAGATGTGGTGGTGGACATGTGTAATCCTAGTGACTTGGAAGGCTGAGGCAGGAGGATCACAAGTTTGAGGCCAGCCTCATCAACTTAGACTCTGTCTCAAAATAAATAAATATATAAGTAAATAAATAAGGGTGGGTATATATCTCAGTGGTAAAGTGCCCCCAGGTTTAATCCCCAGTCTATCACTCCTAACAACAGAATTATTTCTGGTTCATTCAAAACTCATCTTGTCACTTAAAACTATACAATTATTTATATATAATATATAAATTGGAAATTTATATATATTATATATAAATATTATATGTTTTGTAAAGTAAAAAAAATAGAAAAGTAGGGCTGGGGTTGTGGCTTAGTGGCAGAGTGCTTGCCTAGCATGTATGAGGCACTGGGTTTGATTCTCAGCACCATATATCAATAAATAAAATAAAGGTCCATTGACAACTAAAAAATATTTTTAAAAAATAGAAAAGTAGAAAGTATCCCCATATGTTTTAAAATATAATCATTGAGTATTTTTTTTCCTGCCAATAAATAAATGCCAAGACGTGACTTTGATTTTGACAAGGCTCTTAAAATTTGCTATATCGAAGACAAAGTTGCCAGGCCTCAAATGGCGTACTTTAAGAAAAAAAAAGAAAGATATTTCCTGTTAATAAAAGTATAGAAAATAATGTAAAGAACATCAGCTCACCACTTAGTAAAATCTGTGACATGGTCCCACTTTTTCTGTAGATTTTTTTTTTTAATGTAAAGTAAATCGTTAACAGTTATTGCTGAAGCCTCCTGTGGATTCCACTCTGCCATTATCCTCTGTCCGTGCCCAGAGGTAAACACCACTCTCATTTTGATTTTTCCATTCCCATAAGTGTTTTGGTATGTTATACGTGTATATATATATTCCCAAATGATACATGATTTTGTTTTGCTTATTTCTAAGCTTTATATAAATCATACCATACGTGTCATTTCCCCTCTTGCTTATTTTCCCCAATTCAGTGTTTTTTGAGATTAATTCATGTTGATGTGTGTCATTTGTGTTCACTCATTTTAACTTCAGCATCATATTCCATTGCATAAATATGCCACCATTTGTTTATTCATTCTCTTTTTTATGGACACTTAAATTGTTTCCAATATTTTGCAAACAGTGGGTGCAGAGAACATTTTTTTACATGGTCAAGTTCTCTAAAGGATGTAAGTAAAAATGCTCTGTTAGGTTATAAGTATCTTCAAGCAAGATGATATTACTGTTTCCATGCTTGAATCAATTTATAGTCACTATAAGTTTGAATTTCAATGCCACATCCATTTCAAGTTTGTTTGTTTGTTTGTTTGTTTGTTTTAATAGTCCTGGGCATCAAACCCAACGCCTTATGCATGCTAGGCAAGCCCTCTACCAGTGAGCTACACCCCAAACCCAGTCTTTTTCTTTATCAAACTTTAAAATTTTTGACTGTCTGATAGATATGAATGACATGTATTTATAGGGTTTTTTTAATATTTATTTTTTAGTTTTAGGTGGACACAATATCTTTGGGTTTTTTATTTTATTTTTTTATATGATACTGAGAATCGAACCCAGTGCCTCACTCATGCTAGGCAAGCACACTACGACTTGAACCACATCCCCAGCCCCTGTATTTATAGTTTTAATTGGCATTTACCAATTACTAATAATGCAATGCCTTTTGGTCATTTGAGTTTCCTCTTATGTGAATTACCTATTTGTATTCTTTGTCTCATTGATTTGTGTGTGTGTGTGTGTGTGTGTGCTGGAGATTGAATTTTTAGGGTCTCATTCATGAGGAGCATGCACTCTTAACACTGAGCTACATCCCCAACCCCAGTCTTTTTCTTCTTGATCTGTAGGAATTTTTATGTTTCTGCATATCATTCCTTGGTCAATATTATACTTAGCCTCTCCTGGTTTCTGGGATTTTTTTGGTTTTGGTTTTGTTTTTTTCTTTTTTGAGACAGTGTCACTAAATTGCCAAGACTGGTCTAGAAATTTCAGTCCTCCTGCCTCAAGCTCCCAAGTAGCTTGGATTACAGGTATGCACCTCTGTGCCATCTAGATAAAACACTGATGTCTTCCCAGAACCTTTTTTCCATTGTCAAAATTATAATCACCATAGCCTTACATTAATAGTGTCTCTTGTTCATTAGTTTGTCTTGGCAAGTTATTAAAAACATATGGATCATTGATGTTCTCATCTATAAAATAGAAATAACTACCTTCATAAGGACAGGGCCTCATGAAAACTGAATGTGATAAGCAGCTGGGCACAGTGGTTTACACCTGTAATCGCAGCTACTTGCAAGGCTAAGGGAAGAGGATCAAAAGTCCAAGACCAGCCTCTGCCACTTAGACCATGTCTCAAAATAAAATTTTAAAAATGGCTTGTGATGTAGATCAGTGGTACAGCACTGACCTGCCATGCTGAAGACCCTGGGTTCAGTTCCCAATACCAAAACAAACAAACAAGATGAAGACTAAATGCTAAATGTGATAAAACATTCCTAGCATCATTCCTAGCCATTGGTGGTCAGACAGAAAAGTTGATAGCCTTCCAAATAATTAGCATCCAGAACAAATAGGAAAAGTTGGATTGTTGCCAAGACTTATTTAAATTTGGTTAACTCTCCTACATTCTCACTAGCATCCAGGAAAAAAAAAAAACACTAAAAACAGCAATAGCAAATTACCTTTTTTTGCCTAATGAATAAGCAATATATTTATGAAAGTTTTCATTGCTGATGAGAGTGAGCCTGGGCTGCTAGCAAGTGTGTATGTATTCTTCATTTGTAAAGAGGTTCAGATGTGAGGCTGGGGCTAGGGCTCAGTGATAATGTGCTCACTTGGCATACATGAGGCACTGGGTTCGATCCTCAGCACCACATAAAAAAATAAAAAATAGGGATATTGTGCATATATATACACACACACACACACACACATATATATAAAATATCTGTCGGTATATAAAAAGAGGTTCGTATGTGTCAGGAACCCTAAAAATGTACTGCTTTGGACTCTCCCAAAGACTGCCATTTGTGCACCTAGAATATGTGTACAGGGCTGTCTACTACCTCACCATTTGTTGTTTTTTTTTTTAAATACATCTTCATTTTATTTATTTATGTGGTGCTGAGGATTGAACCCAGTGCCTCACACATGCAAGGCAACCACTGTACCACTGAGCCACAACCCCAGTCCACCATTTATTATTAATAATAAAAATCTAGGAACAAACTAAATAGATTGTTTAATATCTTAAACACACACACACATACACACACACACACACACACACACACACACACACACCCTACAGAATATTGTATAGCCATTAAAAATCATGATTTTTTTCCAATACTGGATATTGAGCCCAGGGCCTCACACATGTTAGGCAAGCACTCTACAATTGAGCTACATCCCCAGCCCTTTTTTATTTTGAGGCAGGGTCTCACTAGGTTGCTGAGGCTGGCTTCAATCTTGAGATCCTCCTGCTTCAGCCTCCCAAGTAGCTGGGATTCCAGGCATGCACCACTAGCCCAGCTTCATGATTTTTTCCAGACTGCCAAGATGGGAAAATAGAATACAAAAACTTTATATGTTAAAGTGGAAAACCCAGGTTATAAAACTGAATACATACATATATACACATGCACAGAATATTGATTCTGATTTAGTTTTAAGTGCATAAACTGAACAGCAGGAATTATACCACATTTAACTGTAGTTTCTTATTTTCCCAGAATAAAGAAATTAAAAGTATTTTTTGTTGTTTATTTTCCAGATTTTCTGCAATGAGAGTATATTATGTATATAATTAGGAAAATGTGATTAATCTGATGGATTCATTTGGTGTCATGTCCCTGTGAAGTGGCTGGTAACACACTGCTTTCCCCACAGCTGCTGCTGGACACCCACTCCCTGAAGATGGTCCTGCTCGACCTCCCTTCCATTGGCTCACAGGTGGTGAGGAAGGCACCTGCCAGTTACACTAAGATTGTCGTGAAAGGCATGACCCGAGCTGAGATGATCCTCAAGGTAATGATTGTGTCTTCCTCAAGGATCCTGTTTTAAGGAACTAGTCATATATCTAATCCCATATCCAGGGGGTTCTGATTTTGAAAGCCCAGCATAAGGCCTATCCCCACCAGTCCTAAGGATCATCTGCATCCTTTGTTTAAACTAAATGTTGGCCTCATTAGATATTATTTGAAGTCAGTGGACAATTACTTGGGGACCAGTAATTCTTTCAGACAAAGGAATTCTTTGTTGTCATGAGATTTTCTTGTAATAAGATTTGGCCAAGACTGAGAGTTAGAAGGAGTTGCCACTGTGAATCAAGTTGTATAAGTTAGGAACTTTGCCTCTCAGCAGGAACATCAGTTATCCTCCACTCCCACATAAGCCTTTTTGGCTTTCTGTGCTTTACATCTTTAAATGAACTCAACAATGTTGTGGTAACAATCTAATCAGCAAATGGGTTTCTTGTTTGTTTCTTTGTTTTGATTTTAGCATCACTTAACAAGATATTGTACTTCAGCTGGTGCTGTCAAGAATGTCTTGAACACCTACCATGATTTCCAAGGATAACATGAGAAGAGGGGCAGAGGGTAGAGAACAAATAGTACTACCTGATAAGGCCTGAAAGTCCAGGGCCTGTAGGCTCTTCAGGCTCTCTTCCCAAACAATAACTCAAATGATGACAGGAGAAAAAAGTAGCTGCAGCCCACAGACACCATGGGACCAGGCAAAGGCCCCGCATAAGCCTTGAGCCATGGCCTGAGAAAACTGGAAGTAGCCTGATGGATTCTTCTCCAGCTGGTGTCCTCTCTGCAGAGAGAGCATACAGTTTGGGAGTAATCTGCCAAGGACTTTTGAAGGAGATACTCCTCACTGCTCCCTTACATTCTCAGGAATTCAAACTAAAATTATTTTGCTGAGGGAAGAAAAATCAGATTCTGCTTTCCAAAACCAAATGGAAATGAATCTGAGGGTTGCAGTGCCATCTGTTTGTATATTAATTGGTAGTTTAAGTAAATGTAGTTAAATGAAGTTCCAGATTTTAGGTCTTCAAAAGAGTAAGGAAGCTTTGGGATTTTTGTTTTTGAGAAGATCCACTCACATCAATTCCTTTTGTTGCCCGATTGTCAAGAATAGACAGAAGGAGTTGGGCATGGCACACACCTGTAATCCCAGTGACTCAGGAAGCTTAGGCAGGAGAATCACAAGTTCAAGGCCAGCCTCAGAAATTTAGGCCTTAAGCCTCTTAATGAGACCCTGTGTCAAAAAATAAAAAGGGCTGGGGCTATAGCTCAATGGTAAAACTCTCCTGGGTTCACTCCCCAGTACCAAAATAACAAAACAACAACAACAAAATGACAGAAGGAGCAGGCACCAGGTACCCATGAAAGGTCCAACCGGAGACCTTTGACACTGTGTTTCCCAAATGGTCCCTATTTTTTAAAAACATCTCCTGCCCAGACCCACTGAATTAGAATACACAGAAAAGAGACCCAGAAATCTGCACATTAAAATCAATCCTCCAGAGGGTTACAATGGCACACGCCTGTAATCCCAGTGGATTGGGAGGCTGAGGCAGGAGGATCCTAAGTTCAAAGCCAGCCTCAGCAACAGCGAGGCACTAAGCAACTCAGTGAGACCCTGTCTCTAAATAAAATACAAATAGGGCTGGGGATGTGGCTCAGTGGTTGAGTGCCCCTGAGTTCAATCCTTGGTACCAAAAAAAAAAAGGGCGGGGGCACTGGGGATATAGCTCAGTTGGTAGAGTGCTTGCCTTGCATGCACAAGACCCAGAGTTCAATCTCCAGCACCACCAAAAAACAAAAACAAAAAAATGGCAATCCTCCAAGTACACCAGTGCACCCTGTAATCTCAATGGCTTGGGAGCTGAGGCAGGAGGATTGTGAGTTCAAAGCAAGCCTCAGCAATGGCAAGGTGCTAAGCAACTCAGTGAGACCCTATCTCTAAATAAAATATAAAATAAGGCTTAGGGGCTGGGGGTGTGGCTCAGAGGTAGAGCGCTTGCCTAGAACGAGCCTTAAGGGCCTACTGTGTTCCTTCCCTTGGTAGGTAGTGATGGCCCCCCATGAGCCATTGGTGGTGTTTGTGGACAACTACATCAAACTCCTTACAGACTGTAACACAGAAACCTTCCAGAAGATACTGGACATGAAGGTGAGCTCAGTATCTTTTCTTGTCAACTCCTACTCATCCTTCTTACTCTAGGGGGTGGGATATGGGTTATGGAGGGGCTGCCTCAAAAATGCAGGTTGTGGACCCAGAGTGGTGGGTTGAAATCCCAGCAACTCAGGAGGCTGAGGTAGGAGGATCACAAATTTAAGGCCAGCCTCAGCAATTTAGCGAGACACTGTCTTTAAAAAATAAAAAGGGGCTGGGGATATAGATAAGTGGTAGAGCACTTCTGGATTCCATCTCCAGTACAAAAAAAAAAAAAAAAATCCATGTTGCTAGTCCTCCCTGCAATCTGGATTCCAGGAGGGTAGTCCTGGGCATGTTAGCTTCAGGGTTCTGGACCACCCTGCATGCCTGGAAGCTACTGCTCAGGAGAGGACAGAATGGAAGGAGCAGGAAGATCATCCTTCCATCTTTACCTGTCCTCCTCTCCAACCTTTCTTTCTCTCCAACCTTTCTTTCTCTCCTACCCAATTCCTTCGTTATTTCCTTCCTCCACTTTCTCCCAGGCTACTACTGAAGGCTGATAATTTCTCTGAAGAAAGCTTTTGTCCTTAGCCTGAAATAATTATGCTGATGGTAGAGGCCATGCCAACAGCAGACCCAGAAGTGCACTCTCTCTTTGGGCTATTGCAGAGCCACCTCCTGACCACTAACTCTCCTCTCTCTTCCACCCTCAGGGGCTGAAGAGAAGTGAGCAGAGCAACATGCTGGAACTCCTGCGCCAGAGACTTCCCACCCCACCCTCAGGGGCAGATGGCTCCAGCTCTCTGTCCCTGATGGCTCCTACACCAGAGCAGGAATCATCTCGCATCCGCAAACTTGAGAAACTAATTAAGAAGAGACTTTAGGAGCACACGAGGGGCACTGAACCCAGTTCTTGGAAGCCCCAAGTGCCCCTGTACCCCTCCCCTACTCAGTGACTCATATCCTCAGTCATGAGTTTTTGGGACATTGAGGTTGCTACTGTGTCTCTCCCTGCCCTGTCTGAACTCCTGTCCCAGTGGGAGAAGCTGAGTAAGGACTGGGTTATAAAAAGGCAGTTTAGATTATCTCTCATTGCTGCCAAGGAGGCAGCATTGGGTGAAAGGCCCCAGTGGTTCAGTTGCTGTTTCCAGGCTGCCCTTGAAGGTCAAGTTGTCATTGGCTCTTGTAGCCTCACCGCAGCAGCCATACCCTCCAACACCTGGGCCCTACTCCCTGCACATGCCTGTCCAGCAACTTGGATGAGGAAGCCTGGATCTTGCTCCTTCCCCCTTCTGCAACTACTGGAGGTCACCTCTGCAGCCAGAACGCTGAGAATGTTCCTGGAATTGGTTGAGTGAATGGACTGCCAGATCACAGGGTTTAGTACTACCCTTTATGAAGACAGTGGAAGCATGTGCACTTTTCCATGTAAATCACAGTTTCCTGGTACCTTCCATTTGACATGGCCAAGTTTCCTGTGTTCTCATTTCTTGTTACTCTCCAAAGGAGAAAGGCCCTCTGTGTCTGTCACTCTGGAGGGCTGTATGAACCAAGCCTTGGAAGCAGACCAGGCTGGGGCTGCTGACCTGGAGAGGAGACAGTCCCAGATCTGACAGAGGGTTCTGGGGCTTGGGGTGTTGCTCAGTGGTAGAACGCTTGCCTGGCATGTGCAAGACCTGGGGCACCGAACCCTGTAAAAAATAACAAGTGGGTCTTGCTTGGCACAGTCACTGTGTTATGTGAGATTATTTTCTCCATTTCTTTATTCTCACTCTGTTCCTAACTTCTTGGGAAGCAGTTGACTTCTATATAGGAAAACCAGGAAGTTCTCTTGGAAAACCTTTCCTAGTTTTTTCCTGCAGATGAACTATGGGAGGGAATAGATAGCCTGTACCATCTGATGTCCTTCCTGCTCATTCACTTTCAAATCCAGAGAACTCTCCAGAGTCACCTGAAACAACAAAGGTGGTGTACAGTGCATACATCACAGTATTAATGAGAGAGAACCTGGGTCTTTGGATACCAGGAACACAAGATTGACCTTACTCGCCAAGCTCAGAACTGGCCTGGCCCAGAACACAGCCTGGGCCCAGACTGCCCTTCATGTCCACCCACTGGCTCTAAGCAGCAGAACTTTGCAGAAAATTGCTCTATAGAGCCACTTCAGTCCCCTGCATCATCCTACACACAGAGGACAGGCACCATACCAGGTAGTTTCCCTAATTCTCTTATACTACTCTACACTGTTTCCCTCCCTCCCTCCCCCCCTCTGACCCTGTCCATTAGTTCCAGGTTTGAAACCCCACCTCCGCCCTGTGCTGGAGATGGAACCCAAGGCCTCAGGCATGCTGGGTGAGACATGTTCTATCACTAAGCCACACCCCCAGCTACAGAGCCTCATTTCTTCATTAGCTTCCAGCCTGTCCTTGCTAATTAGTAGAAGTATTGAAAACACTAAGAAGAAAATCAGTAGTGAAGAGATATGGCCTTTAGTTGAGCTCTGTTAGGAGAAGATTCAAGATTAGAGAAGTGCAGGAGGAGTGGGGAGGGGGTTGGGAGGCTCAGTCTAAGAGGGATTCCTCTGTGCTATCGTGTTGCTTTGGTAAGGTTATATGCACTAATTGAAAGAAGGGGTGGTGGGCCAGTCTCCAAACAGCACAGCCAATTCAGCCGTCTGTCATCAACCTAGGGAGGCTGGGAAAGCCAGTGGACTCCTGCACCTGGTTCTTGTCACTCTTCAGTGTTTACAGATCCACACTTCTCTTTTTAGTTCATTCATGAGGAGTCATTTTTCTGGACATCTCTATAATGGCATTGAGATGTCAGACTGCTGTTTTTCCCAGTTGGTGGTCACCGCCAGGGAAGTTGCTTTCCTGATTTATTACATTGTCAGTAATCCCCAAGGAGCCAACAGATGTCAGTTGGAGTTATGTTCAGTGTCTCATTGATGGGGACTGAATACCGGGTGTGCATCCTGGAGAGACAGCATGTTTCTCACCTGGGGGTATGCATCAGAATCACCTGGGGCCCTTTTAAAAAATTGTAGATGCCTGGAGATTTTGACTCAGTAAGTCTGCAGTGGGGCCTGGCGTGTAGGCTTAAAAGCTCCATAGGTGATTACATTTGTCTGTCAGTATCCACGGAGGATTGGTTCCAGAACCCCCTCCCTGTACTCCAGTGGATATCAAAATCTGCAGATGCTTGAGTCCCCTCATATAACTGGCATAGCATTTGCCTACACTTTAAACACATCTTCCTGTATACTTTAAATCATCTCTGGACCTCTTATAATACCTAACTTGGTAGAAATACTACACAAATAGTTGTTGTACTGTGTTATTTAAAGATCTGTACTTATTCCATGTAGGCACAGTTTAAGTGTTGTTTTTTGTTTGTTTGTTTGTTTTCCAAATACTTTTGATTGAATCCACGGTTGTGTATCCACAGATATAGATGACTGACTGTGTGAGGTTTATTCTTTGCTAAGAACCATTGCAATACAGAGAAATTCACTTTATTAAAGGGTTCCTGTAGCCCGTTTTCATAAATGTATATTTTTCTGGTTCTCTGAGTATAACTACAGTACAGTGGTCTTTGCTTATAGCTAGCAGCTTTAATTTCAAACTCATTTAGGACATGCCAGGAGTTTCACTCTCATTCAGTACTGATGAATAGTCTTCCTTTTTTGATGACCAAACCTCAAATAGAAGCTTTATTTATTATTGCCACTTCAAAATAACATACATAGCCAGGTGCAGTGGTACACACCTGTAACACCAGTGACTCAGGAGGCTTGGGCAAGAGGATCACAAGTTCAAGGCCAATCTCAAAAATTTAAGCCCTAAGCATCTTAGTGAGACCCTGTCTCAAAAAATAAAAAGGGCTGGGGATATAGCTCAGTGGTAAAACTCCCCTGGGTTCAATTCCCAGTACAAAAAAAAAAAAATTAAAAATGACAGAAGGAACAGGCACTGGGTGCCCATGAAATGCTTCCAACAGGAGACCTTTGACACTGTGTTTCCCAAATGGTTCCTATTTTTTAAAAACATCTCCTGCCCAGGCCCACTGGATTAGAATATACAGAGAAGAGATCCAGAAACCTGCACATTAAAACACAATCTTCCAGCTGGGCTTAGTGTCACACCTGTAATCCCAATGGCTTGGGAGACTGAGGCAGGAGGATCCCGAGTTCAAAGCCAGCCTCAGCAACAGCGAGGCACTAAGCAACTTAGTGAGACCCTGTCTCTAAATAAAATATAAATAGGGCTGGGGATGTGGCTCAGTGGCTGAGGGCTCCTGAGTTCAAACCCCGGTACCTCCCAAAAATGATGGCAATGTACATAAGGAGTAGCGATTGATTAAAGCAGCATCTGATAACTAGTTCAACTAACCTTGAATATTATTTCCATTCCTCCCCTACTTTCTCTAGCCTATTTAATTTTTTTTTATATGATGATACCCAAGATTGAACTCACAGGCGCTTAACCACTGAGCCCCATCCCCGGACCTTTTTTATTTTTTATGTTGAGACAGGGCCTCACTAAATTGCTGAGGCTGGCTTTGAACTTTTAATCCTCCTGCATCTGCCTCCTGGGCTGCTAGGATTACAGGCGTGCGCCATTGCACACAGCTCTCTAGCCTCTTTAAAAACAAAAACAACTTTGAAGTCTCCTCGTGGTTAAAATAAATATTGATAAATTATAAATCGCTAAAGAATTCAGTGTTGCTCTTATTATGGAGAGGCTTCCTGGAGAGCTGGCTTAGAGGTGCCAGGGTGGAGAAGTCCTGTTTGGACTATACCCGTGAAGCAGGAGCTACAATAGACAGGGAAGTTTCCATCTCCAAGTTGGGTTCTGAAACTGAAGCTAATGCTGCTCCTTCCTCTCTGGTGGTGCCTAGTGTGTGAGGCCCTGGGTTCAATCCCCAGTGCTGAAAAGCAAAAATAAAAACCTTCCTCTCTGGCAGAACAAAGAGCCAGTACCCAAGTCTCTGTCCAGCACCCATAGAAGGTGCCTATTTTCTCATGTCTAGGTAGTGCCTTGGTGTGGATCAAGCAGATGTAACAGTGACAGGGCAGGCAGGGTGGGAGAGCAGGCCCAAGGCTGCTGCCCGATGTGGGGGATGTTCCACGGGCTCCTCCTGAATTGCTGTTGAACAAGGAAGCTTGGTTCCCTGTTTACAGAATACTAGGGGAAATGCCAGAAGTGAACAGCTGGAAATGTAATTCCTCTCCCTAGGAAGAAAAGTCTCAAAATAACTAACTTGCTTGAAGGTGAAGGCAAGTGTTCCACAGTTTTTTGTCTACTCCAAGTCAGACATTCCTAAAAATAAAATGGTTAGAACTGACTGCATTGGGCCATTTAAGCACTAGCCTTGGAAACATGGACTCATGAAAATCCATGCAGATGTAAGGAATACCATTGCATTTTATATATTAAATAAAATTTTCCAGTCCCATCCTAGCATTCATCAAAATAGCCTCTTGGACCCTCAGAGTTATACACCTTTGGGAGATCTAAATTGCTTTAAAATAAAGGAATTACTTTTTTGTGTAAATATCTTTCATTTTGCCCATCTGGAAGTGATTTCTTGGTGCATATTGGAGCACAAAATACTGCAGTTAATTAAAGCATTACTGGATGTCATTTGCTAGAATGTCTTTCCCTACTGCTGACAGAAAACAGAAGGGACTATAGGAAAGAATTAGCAAGCCCATGAACCTTAGGCTCCCCTCCCAGCGACTGCCTGCTTCCTGGTGAAGAAGCAGGTAGAGACCCTTTCCCTGGCGATCTAAGGAAGGAATGCACAAGAGGACATCGAGGCAGCTCACGAGCCAGGTGTTGGTCTGTCCATTGGTGGGGCAGCCTCTCTGAGTATGTATAAAGGGTT